GGGAGGGCAGATCGGAATGCTCTCCGGGACCGCCGTTCGCCTTCGGAATTGTGTGTAGGATGAGAGAGAACGGCCCCGAGCATGTAGCCAGCCCGTCCTTCCGTGTGTCGCGGCGTGGTCGGCACACTGAGCCGTACCTGACCGCAGCCGTGCGAGTAGGCCCTTTTCTCTTTTGCAGACCTCCTCGACGCGCATCCCAGGCACCGTTATTCCTCCTCCCCTGGTCCGCGGAGGGCAGCAGACTTCTTCGAAGTTAGGGACTCAGCAGAACACGCAGATAGTAATGCCGCCTCTTGTCAGGGGAGCGCAGGTAAGTGCTTACCCGGGCCTCGAGCCGCTCCGGTTTTCCTTAACTCTTCCTCGTCTCTCGGCTTCTCTGGGGGGAGCCTGTGGGGTTCTTCATGGAATTTCTTACTACGCCCAAACGTATCGACTGAAAATGCCCGCATCGTTCCAGTTCTGCGTTCCGGGCTGTCCCGTCAGGCGTGGGGCGCAGCAGGAGCAGATCCCGCGCTGATGCCGGGGGGGCCTTGCCGGCGAAGCCGCTTCCCTCAGCTGTGCCAAAGCACCTTGTTTGCCGCTGTTAGGCAGGTTCACACGCTTTTTAGGAAAACCAGAGCCGAGGAAGTGAAACCCAATCCCTCGTTCTTCCATTTTTTCCCCTCGTTACCCTTTCTGTCTCATCAGTTTCACCCTTTCAAACGCTGGAACTCGCGGGTTTTTCCCCTCGTTTTGCGACTGAGTAAGAGCTGCAAAACGGGGCCGTGGACGGAGAGTCAAAGTGCCGCTCTGCGGGGTCCGTGTCAGCTGCAACAGGCCGGTGCTGTCACGGAAGGAGTAGGAACAGCAGTGCCTGGGAAGGGAAGGCTCCGGGGAGACCTTAGAGCCCCTTCCAGTGCCTGAAGGGGCTACAAGGAAGCTGGGGGGGACTTTTTACAAGGGGCTGTAGTGACAGGACAAGGGGTAACGGGTTTAAATTGAAAGTGGGGAGGGTTAGATTAGATATCAGGAAGAAGTTCTTCCCAGAGAGGGTGGGAGCACTGGGACAGGTTCCCAGAGAAGCTGTGGATGCCCCATCCCTGGAAGTGTCCAAGGCCAGGCTGGATGAGGCTTGGAGCCACCTGGGCTATGGAAGGTGGCCCTGCCCATGGCAGGGGGTGGGACTGGATGATCTTTAAGGTCCCTTCCAACCCCAACCATTCCATGATTCTATGATACGGGCTTGTAAGGTCATGGCTTCCGTGGGATGGCAGGGAGAACCCATCTCCGTGTTCAGCGCGGGTTTATGTTGCGGCGGGAGGTCTGTGTTTACCTGTTGCGTAGCCAGCGTTAAGGGGGAGCGTGGGGATTTGGCACATCGTTTTCTTTCTGTTCTGATTACGGAGGGAAAATCTCACTCCGAGAAGGAGCTTTCTTAATGCCTCTGGAATGACACAGCCTCAACGCTGACAGTTTGGGAGACGTTGGACTGGAGACTTGGGTGATGTTGCTTTGGCCCAGCTGTTCTGGCCACTGTTGCGTAGCCAGCGTTAAGGGGGAGCGTGGGGATTTGGCACATCGTTTTCTTTCTGTTCTGATTACGGAGGGAAAATCTCACTCCGAGAAGGAGCTTTCTTAATGCCTCTGGAATGACACAGCCTCAACGCTGACAGTTTGGGAGACGTTGGACTGGAGACTTGGGTGATGTTGCTTTGGCCCAGCTGTTCTGGCCACCGAGCTGC